CATGCCTGCCTTGCCTCCAATGCCCCTTCTCCTCACACCTGCCACCCCTCATGGCTGCCTCGCCTCATGGCTGCCTTGCTTCATGCCCACCTCATCTCATGCCTGCCTCGCTTCATGGCCACCTCGTCTCGCATGCCCGCTTCTCCTCATGCCTGCCACCCCTCACACCTGCCCTATCTCCTGGCTCACCCTCCTCTTGGCCTCAGCCATCACTAAACAGCCATTCCAGCTCCCGTGTCCCAAACATTGACGTTTCTCGGGTTTAGCCACGGACCGCCAAGGCCTCCTTTCTCTCCCTGGCCCTGCAGCACTGCGACCGGAGGCATTGTGGCAAGGAGACTCCCGGCAGAGCCTGACGCAGAGCTGCTGCCCGCAGCCCCACATGCTGGCGGACGAGTAGCCCATCTGTCAGCGGCCAAGTTATCTCAGCTTTTTGTTTTGTTCCGCAACGACTTGTGTCCTTGAAACAATTCCTTCCCACAACCCCTGAATAACTCCCAAGCTAAAATTACACACACCACGGAAAGCAAGAAAGTCTCCCTCGTTTCAGACTGCACCAAACGAGCTTTGTGCAACTCCAAATCGGCTGCAGCCGCAGCACAGCTCTCTGTTTCTGTCATGCGTGCCCGTTTCCTTCTTGTTTAGGTTTCAGCCTCTTAAAACTCATGTATATGTGTATGTGGGGTGGGGTGAGGGAGAAGAAACGTAGCCAGAAGTGTTTTGGACCTTCAGATACTCAAATAGACAATAACCTAGCAGCCATGGGATAAATTTGAGATTGCATAAAGGGGGAGGAATTTGACATTTACTTTCTTCACATGGGAATGGCACTTTTCTGCATCTTTTGGTACTGTATGACGCATGTGGGATTTTAAGTTTTAAAAGCAGCACCTCGAGCAACTTCAACACCATCTCCGTTTCACTTTTGCCCCATTTTAGGGAGAAAAAGGTGCTAGGGTTTACAAACATTAGCCTGCCTTTTAGGGGAGCTGCTGCTGCAGAATTTTTCTGGGCATGAACCTGTCAAACAACATAGAAATATCTGAAAAACCTTAGCTTTCATTCAGAAATTCTTGTTCAGAAATTCTTGTTCAGAAACTGAAGCTCTGAGCACTCTTGGGTGGTACCTGCGCCTGTGGAAAGCTTCATCTGTCCCAGTGGAGCTCCACACCTGGTCCTCGGAACATGGCACTGAAAGTGTTGGGCTTCACTCTCTAAAGGCTTGGGACGATTAATAATGTCATGAATAATACCTTAAGTAATGATATAAATATGTGTTGATTATTATGCCATTCTCAAGCCCATTGGAGAACAAGTTCTCCCCTGGAAGAGATGTTTTACGTACTTCAGACAAAAGGAGGGACCTTGACCCAAAGAGCTAGTACATCCATAAACAAACCATTGTGGGAAAACACAAGGTGTGTGTATTACACCTAAACTGGGAGTAAAATGATACACGTGTCTTGTAATCAGTTCATGGTGTAAGATTTCTTACAGCATAAATTCATCTTTAGATGATTGTGCTTTTGGGACCTAATGGCATAAACCACACCAATATTTTTCCAGCACTGGAGAAGAGCAAATCTGAAGGCTTATCAGGATGTTTGGATTACTTCAAACCCCTCTCTGAAAATGAGAATATTTGGAGTAACCTGCCTTTTCTTGGAAAGTGGAGCTCACGTTGTAGGGATTTTTGAAAACATCCATAATCTGAATTTGCAAGGGAGATGTAATTCAGATATGTAGGTGCAAATTAGTTAAGTAGATGTAGCATATGAAAGTAAAAAAAGATCAGTGCAAACTTATGTCAGGAAAGATGTCAGGAACTTATGTCCAAAATGTCAGGAAAGAAATTGAAACCACCACAAGTGAAATTTAAAGACCTTGGAAATGTCTGTCTGTCTCTCCAAGCTAATGTAAGATAATGTGTGGAGAAAAGGGATGTTGCTGCTTCTCAGCATTGCCCATAATTTAGAAGTTCCTACTTTATTACTCTTATTCTTGCTCTTGTAAAATCTTTAAAACTACTCTGCTATATTGGTAGGAAAGTACTGGTTTATTAAGGGTTTTGAGACTTCCTTCTGTACGTTATCCAGCACAAAGCTGCTGTAAGGGTAAGGTCTGCCACAGATGTCTATGCCAGCACTGGCATAAAACAGGAGGGGTCCACAATTCACTGGTGGCAATATATTTGTATAGAATAGCCAAGATAATACGAGTAATTATTTCCAGACCGAATAAATTGAATAAACGGGCTTTTAGCAAATCAGCAGTCACACAGCCTTTAACACTTACCCATCTGTGTGGCAAGCCAAGAAACTAATTAAAAAAGAAAAAATAAAAAAAAAAAAGAACTGGAAGTGAGTTTTGGGAGTGGCCGGACGTGTCTCTAATAGCAGGCTCCAAAGTCCCTTTCAGACACTTTCCCAAGGTTTCCTGACTTCTTTTTTTTAACACCAACCTCTCTCTCTGTCTCTCTAATCAAGAGGAAATGGGTTTTGCATAGCTTTTGTCATGGCTTGAAAGTGCAAGCTGCAGTTCTACTTGAAATCCAAGGCTGCTCTAAACCAAACATTTTGTTTGATTGAAGTGTCACCATTGTCCCCCCCAAAATGGGTATGCTCACAGCCAAATAACATCAAGGCTTTACTTCTACAAACAAGAGGACCTAGCTTGGGCAAATGCAGTTCATAGAAGGTATTGTCTTCCTAACAACAATACTCAGCGCTTACTTAGTCTATCTGTCTTCAAAGTATCTTGTTAAATCCGGTTAATCCTTTAACGTCCGGCTAGTTTGACAAAAATGTTTTTAACTCCACTCTAAAGACAGGGAAACTGACAGATGGAGGCCAAAGATTTTCAGTTTGTGTGTCTAAATTGGTGTATCTAGATTCAAATGTCCAGACCCGGCTGGAGGCTCTAAGGGACAGATATTAATGAATTTTTTTTTTTCATGGATATGCTCAGAGTGCTTATCATCAGGATTCTGGTTTGAAAGCTTTGACCTAAGCAACTTGCTCAGTGCAAATCATGTGAATCAGGAGGTGAACTGGGGTAGGAAGACAGGAGGCGGTAGCTTCACTTCAAACGGTGCCATTTCTCTAGCACTGGTGGGATTATTTAGCAGGAGTGCTGGAGGCAGTTTGGGTAATACCACGTTATATAGGACATTTCCATTTGGAGGAGACCACTGTTCTGTGCAGGAGGAACGCATATGGACAGAGGGCATGGGGAAATAAGCTCAGCCTGCCTGCACCAAGCCAGAATAATCATATTTTAGAAGAACCATCTCCATCAGCTATGGAACAGGGTGCAGTGCATCCATCATCCGCTCAGTCCCTTCCCCTTATCAGCACTAGAACAGCAGTGTCAGGATCCATAAACCTTTGAGTTGGTTATGTGGGTCAGCATAGTCCTGGGTGACACTACTTCTCTTTTCTCCCTGTCTCTAGTGATGCTGTTCATACTAGATTGTACAGATTGCTCTGTCCACAGCCCTCCCAAATACAAAACACATTTCTTAGTCTTATCGGCAGTAGCACTGACACCCAAAGTAGTAACTGAAACAACATGTTTGCCTGCCCAATACACTGAGTGCAGTGTCATCATCTGGAGAAGAAGCCACAGGGAATTTAGGGGTTTTCAGTTCTAAACCACTATGCATTGATAGTGGCACAGTGACCAATAATGTCTTGCATGCTTTAGCTCTAGGTGCCCTTGCACGTTTTGCCAATGGTGATTCCAGATTTGCTCTCAGATTACTTAACTGTGCCTTGCAGAAAAGGAAGACTGGAAACTGATGTGGAGGTACTGAACACCCACCGTTAGCTCCTTCTATCGATGGGGCTGGCATCCCCGTTCCCCTCCTCTGCCAGGGCTGTTTGTGGTTGGACAGAGCAGAGATCAAGAGGCGTCTGTGTCTCCAATCTGCCTATCTGTCAGTAGATAAGCTGACCAGGGTCAAGGCCAGGGTTCCTTGTAAGGCAAGCTAAAGGATTCAGATTTCACTTCCTTTGATCTGTAAGCCATGTATGGAATTTTAGGACTCAATTATCCTAAATAAGGTCATAAAACGTACTGTGATTCTTAGAGCTAGACCCTCATGTCATGCAACAAACCCATGGCAGAGCCTAAGTCACTGAGAGCAGATACCCAGGCTCCTGTGGCTCCTGCCCCATCCGTGAGCTTTCCATTGCTCCTCACGTATCCTAAGCATTTCCCTCGAGCTCAGAGGTTTTCCCAATGCATTGTGCACACCAAGATTGTGCTGTACAGGAGAGGCAGAATTTTTCTGCAGCAGTGCTTCTAGCAAAGAGCACTATCAGCGTGAACAAAGCATCCCATCAAAATAAAGAACAAAGCTTAGTCCTGTAGCTGGTTTTTTCACTCCACGAAACATTCACCTGTAATAGCTATCAGGCTCCACAGAGTGGAGCAGGCTTAAAAAAAATCAATCAATAATTCTTCTGCCTTACCTCTTCCGTAGTGCTAGAGTATTGAAGGGTAGTTGTTGGAATCCAGGCATTCTCTGTTACTGCAGATTTCAAGTCAAAGTAGAGATTTTCAATGAGATTTTTACTGAAGTGTTCGGTCACATTTCTGATGAACACCTCTGTGCTGCTCTTCAGCAGATTTTCAGGCCTAGAGGTGACGGCATTTAAAGGGGGGGATGTAGTTCTAGTACTCCGTACAGAACTGTCTGCATCTTGGAGATCTAAGACAAATAAAGGAAAGTAATTAAAATCAACTCTACATTTTTATAAAGAATTCTTTAGATGCCAATAAATGTGGCTGATATGACTTCTAAGTAGTTTAAGTGCACCTGTCAGTTCCATAGTTTTTTTGTTTTCAGTGCAAACGTCTTTTGCATCAATACCAAAGTCTGTACAAAACAAAAGCAGGAAAAAATTAATTTCCCTGAACATTCATACCATTCATTTTAAATACAGTCCATCATTGATTCTGAAGTGAAGGGTTGTACTTTGTCATTAACAGCACAATGTTTTCACTCATAGCTTTTTCACTTGCTTGAGTCTATCGAACAGCATACAGTTTCAGCTTTACGTGGCCAACCCCCCCCCTTTGTAAGTACATGGGCCAGATTCTCATCTGCCTTTTGTTGGTGTAAGTTCAAAATCTGGCTTTGTTCAAGATAATTTTTTCAAGATAATTTGTTCAAGATAATTTGTTCAAGATATTTGTTCAAGATAAGTTCCTTGTGCCCCCATGGGACATTCCTCTTGCATTTTTAAATCGGTCCCATGCAGAGACCATGCTAACCTCTGACTGCTCTCTTCCCAAGGTTCAGCTAACAATCGTATCAGTTAACTGAAGTGTCTGCAAATATAATGGTGGATTTGCTTTTTTAGTCACGTATCCTTCAGAGAATGCCAAAGTTGCAATTAGAGTGCAGGAAAGATTTTACTACACATTTTTCCTCCACATTTTCATGGCTCTTCCTCCCCATTGGTATGTATTTAATATCCTTTCTTTGTGGCTGTGAGGGCAGGGTTCAAGCTGTGGTGGCCTCTACATCTGGTAGCATCACATTTCAGCTAAGCGATTGGAATTACTCACTGGCCCCTTCTCCTCACAAAAAGCTGCCCTGCCATTGCTGGAGCACAGCTAGTGTGCATTGGCTCAATGCCCAAGACACTTTGTCTGTCCTTGAACTGGGGTCTCCAGCATGACAGAACCTTGTTTTGCTGCTGAGCCACTGGGCTGGTTGCCATTTATAACAATCTTAGCTCACAAACCTTCTAAAAAAAATGTAATGACTGGGTTAAATTGCAGCAGAAGCTTCCAAATGTAGTTACTTGGTGTGCAATTATGATGTCTTAGCAGGCCAATGTGTGATTACCTCTTACCCAAAGATCAGTGGGTGAGCTTCCATGAAGTCAACATGCTGGGTTTTTTTGTATATGTGTAAATATATATGTTAACATGTTTATATAAAGAGACTTGCAGTACTGTCATTTGCATCCAGAAATAAAAGTGAGATTGTAAGCCCTCGTAAGAGACACTTTCGTGCAAGTGTTTCTGTGCTTGACAGCACAGTGCGTTCACCTGGTATGCGGTTTTGGATCCCTTTGAAAATGATTGGTTTACTGGAATGGGTTGATACCCGGATTAAACGTTTCCCCTCCTTTTATCTAACTGTGCTTCTCTGGGAATAAAAATCTCCAAGTCTCCATTTAATTACAAAAAATGTTGATCAAATATTTTTCCAAATCAAGGCACTGAAAACAATACTACAGATCCAATTCTGCTCTCTCTTACACCTGTGCAAAGGGTTTCATCGAACCCTCAGGTCTGGTCCAACACCGCATGATCATCCTCATGCTGCTGCATTCGCAGAATCCCCGGCAGAGTGCCTATGGTGCAGTCTGCTGTGGTCCTACGTCACACACCTTCATGGCCCCCAACAAAAGGAGAGGGAAGAGTCTGGCAGGGGCAGCCCTGTGCTCAAGCTGTTGTCAGCTGCTGAAATAAACCCATTAGCTAACACAAGTCCAGACTTAGTCTAAATTCCATGTCAGTCATTGTTCCTGGGGATCTGCTATTAGTCGGGGGTCTCTGAAAGTCTGCGGTAGGCAACTAGAACTGCTAGCCCCAAGGACTTGGAAAGAATTAGGCCTTCTGGCTCTGTGCCTCTCAGATATCTCCAACTTCAGCAGGGAGTAGAACTTACTGATAGAAAGGCAGCTAAAAAAAAATACATCTGAGTGGTCAGCAGCTGCTTAGAAAAAAAGGCCACTCAGTTGGGTTCCTAAATATAGATTTACACACCCAACTTAAAAACACATTAAAAAAAAAATCTTGGCTTTATTTACAGACAAATAGCAGCGATTCCAACAGGAAGACGTTTGAGTTCCAGTGCAGTTGTGCTTTAGGAAAGCTGCTGCTCCATAAAAGGGAAGCTGGTGCTGCCAGCAACATT